TCCTCCCCCCTCCCTTCCCCAGCTGACATGTTTTATTCCTCATTATTATTCTCCACTCAGACTCCAACTGCATCATAAACCGACAAGTTGTGAATCAAAACAAAAGACATCTTTACATTTAACCTCCTCGACACTGCCCCCCCCAGGGCTGTTTACTGTAGTACACAGCAGTAACATGAGTTCTTATTAATGCCAGAAAACCGGATGTGGCCCGCAGGCCACCAGTTGATAATCACAGGTCTAGAGAACTGTTTGGAGTTTAACCTTCCCCTCATCTCTACGGCTCCTGTTCCTCCATAAAAAGTGGTAGAAGACGAAGGACGGAACGAGATCTTGATGTAATCTGAATATTTTCATTATTGAAAATTTTAAAAAATTCTAAATTCACTAGACACAGATTAGATTATTACAGACATCCTCCGTTTTAGTGTTTGTTTGTTTTGGTTGCGAGGAGCCGAGTGGGAGATAATATATCCTGTGTGATATTTTTGGTCTCCGTCCACTTGGAGATAACCACAATGGCTTTTCCTTCCTTCAAGGACTCGTCCTGTTAGAACAGGTCAACGTCCAGGTCGGAGCCTCCGTCAGCCTCGCCGCCACAACACAACACACCGAGCTCAGGCTGTGGGTGTGGTTAAAGTAAGGCGTCTCTCAAAGTGGGCAAAACTCTGAAGCAAAACCATCAACAGACAATAACGTACCAGGAAGACAAAATACAAACTACCAGAACGTAGAAACCTTTTTTTTGTATTTTTTTTAAGATGAAACATTTAACAGCAGCTAAAACAATTCCAGTTATTTACAATTCCCCTCATTATAGTGAACAGTGATGAACATTTAACAGCAGCTAAAACTATTCAAGTTATTTACTTTTCCCCTCATTATAGTGAACAGTGATGATAATTAACAATTACAAGGAAACGACATCATTTCACCAAACTGAAACAAGACAAGCTAAAAAAAAGGACGGACAGTTTCTACATGTAAAAATAATCTATATCACGGAGCTAACAGTAAACAACACTTCGTCCAATCATCACGCAGACTCCCAATGAAGCCTAACTTCTATATAATTTACTTCTTTGTGCGTTCAACCAATCAGCATCCAGCTCCAACAGTGGGAAAAAAATATCCAGTGGAGTCAAGATTGAAGCTGAGCTTCACCACGGTTTAATACGCTCCGCAGCTACAGGAAGATCTGAGAAGAAACTGTGATCAGTCGGTGATCTGTTCTGAACAGAACGGACCAATGAACTGCCCTCTAGTGTTAGCTAAACAACGAAATGTCGCTTCTTCATTTGTTTAGGTAGAAAACCAGAAGACCCATCAAAACTTCTCAAACGACAACTTCGTTAAAATAAGTACAAATTCATCCCGAACCTTTACGTTTTTAATTTCCCAGAGGGAATCACAAAGTTCTGTCTTTCTACTCCAGACTAACAAACAGAACCTGAGCTCAGACCGGGCTGAATCATCCAGCAGCTCCAGACTTCTCCCCCCAGCTGACGATGAAACGTTAAGCTCTAACTTCAAACTGCCAACGATTCTGAAACTCTATCAGACAAATATCCTCTGGATGTGTGTCCACACACTCTTCATCACACACCTGCAATCGAGCAGCGGAGTCGGCGTCTCCGAGCCTGAAAACTTTCCACTCACAACACGGTCCAAACCATAATCTCCATTTACAGTCTGTGCAGGAACTCAAAAAGCTGAAGGCACCGGCATCCACGGAAAGTTACAAAGGACCTTAGCACGGATGTTAGCAACTGGTACAAACAAAGGGATGTCTGATAATATCGGCCCGATATTAGCATACATATGTAATATCTGTAAGAATCGTTATCTGTTTTTCTTCCAATAAAAAAAACCCGATAACGCAATGCCTGGGTTTCGCCAAATGATGTGTGCCCTAAAAATAGTTTTAGGGGAAAAACAGCTGTAAATGAAAGTAAAAGCCACCAGATGGCAGCATTGCAACTCAACTATTTTATTAATACATTTTTATAATAATAATATCAGATATCGGAAAAAAGTTTTCATCGGACATCCCTAGTTTTATACTGACGTTGAGCTGGAAAAAGGTCGGAGAGTGATTTAATAACCGGTGGTAGATTAAAGTCACCCTGAATGGCTCTTCAAAAGCAGAGGGCAGCACCGAGTTCTGGCTCTGCTTGAAGGACCACATCAAAGGAGACGAGTCAAAATGGCTACAATTATAGATAAGACGAGAAGCTCCAAAATAGTGTCAGATTGTGGCGTGTCTGAAGAGACGAACAGGCTACAGGCTTAAAACAGTTAGCACAAAGTCACCCCCCCCACTCCCTCCCAGTCTGTAATATATACCAGTTTGGGTCGCACTGGTGGCCATGTGGTGCAAACACATTCTTCTGGAACACCATTGTCCTTGTTTTGATTTAGTCAGAAAATAATTGTCAAACGTCTATCTCTGTTGTTGCCTCTGATTTAAATCGTTGGTTTTTACTCGTCTAATGGAACCATATGTCGAGGAAAATGGCCACATTGTGTTGTGTTGTGTTGTGGGTGAGTCAGCATCGGGTTGGTTTGATTTATCTCAGCTGTTGGGGAGAACTCAATTCTAATTGGATTAAACCTCCAAACACAAGTGTTCCTGCGATGGAACAATGAACTCGAAAGGCAACGAAGGTCGTCGACCGAATCGCTTTTACATTCAGGGAAAAATAAAAATCATTAGGGAAAAACAAGGAGTTCTAGTGAATTACAATCTAGTCAAAATGTCCGTCTCCTGTCCAAATAAGACAACTGTCCAACAGCAGCGTCATGACAGTCGCGCCACTTTGGTCCAACTGGATAACAGTCCCAAGATAAAGTGCTCTTTCTGACCCCGGGGCCACGGCAGGTTAGCGGAGGTTAACGAAGGCATGAGACTGACCTACGAGGTTAGGACAAGTGGTTAATAGTGACCAGATGTGTCCCTGAGGTAAGTCCGAGGACTGCGCCATATCATCCAACATCTACTACCATCTGCATGACGTCAACGTCACGGCGACCATCAGGCAACAAGTGAAGCTCAGACGAGGAGTGTGTGTGTGTGTGTGCTTCTGTATGTTTCACTGGATTAATATGAACATTCCGGTAAGCTCCATGAATAACCTCCCCGCCCCCTTACCCCCCCCCAAACTGAGCTGGCCTCCATCCAGCAGCATTCTAACTCCACACACTGCATCAATTACACCGACTCTACAGTGACTCTGTGACACAAAACACATGTTTAACCCGACTGTGGTTGGGTTGGGGGGGGGCAGGTGGGGGTCGGAGGAGCTCATAAAGAAATGCAGCAGTCATGTGATCCTCTGTCAGCGCTACGACAGGAACAGTGTTGGTGTAGTTAAAGGTTAAAGGTCAGCGGGATGGTGTGGAAAAAGCCGACACGACGTAACACTGGTTCAACGGTTAATTAGTCCTTAACTCATTAATGAAACCACATTTCGCTGCTAAACACGAGACCTGCTAATGCATAGTTCAAGGCCTTCGCATCATCCCTTAACCTACACTAACCAATCAGAAACCAAGACTGATAGTGGAGGACAAAAAACGTCAAACAGAAGAACTCGAAATCTCTCTTTAGAGACGACAGCACTGCGACGCTAACGATTAGCAGCTAATCTGCAGCAGCGACGCAAAGGTAGATCGTATCCGAGACATTCTAGGAGAAACATGGGTGCACATGAGCTACACTATGCAACACTGCCCCCAACAGCTTCCAAAGGCACTGCACATCAGCAAGCTCTTCAAAACATCGTACGAAATTACACACGTTACGAACCAGAGGACAGACGAATGGCTCTGTATGCTAACTTAATGTTAACAGGAAAATGTTCACGTGACCTCAGAGGTCAGTGAGTGTCAGGAGTTCAGTCTGAAGTACTTCCTGTTTAATAACCCGACTGTTAACCAATCATTAACGCACAGAGAACTTCTCTAAAAGTTCTCCTCTGTTTTTACAGGCTGCGACTTTTTATGCAACCCCTCATCGCAAACCAATTTGTTTCCCAGGAGTTTGGACAAGCACTTCGAGTCAGAGCCTGACCTCTGACCTCTGGGTAAATAATAAAGGTTAACAACCGTCCACAGGACAGATAAGACAGACGGTCCGATAAGTGATTAAGTGCAGTTTTGAAGAAAAAAAACAAAAAGCAGCTCAGAAAGGGTCACGCAGGGGTCGGCTCTCCTGAGTCTCCAGACTGGACCTCAGTCAGCAGTCACACCACGGAGGGTTATCTGACTGACCAGAGGGGGCGCAGCTGAAGTGCTGCCTGCCCATTCAGATAAATTAAACAAGACCCATGAGAGCAGCCCGGTCCAATGTAGCCTCACCTCCCTCCCCCCTTACCTCCTCCCTCCCTCACCTCCTCCACCTCCTGTTAAAGAGCGGGTTCTCAGGTTCAACTGATGGTTATTGTGGACATGTTTACAGAAGGCAGCAGCTGAGAGAGCGACAAAGGCACATGCACTGCGCGTGCGTGTGTGTGTGCGCACTGTTTGATCATATGACATGTTGTTGGTCCAGACTATAAAAGAGAGTTTGCTTCTATTGTTGAACAATAATTCATCACTGAGACCTGGAGCTGTGTATCAACAAGAATCTGAACCGATACGATATCACGATACAGTCCCAGTGTGATCCTAGTCTCAGACTCTGTTCCATCTGAACATCAGTTCCTAACTCTGGAACAGAGGGATCTACATTTGGAATCACTAGAGAAGAAAGAACATGAACCAACACCAGGAATGTTGGACTGGGAATTGGAGAGAAAAAAAAAAATCAATAACTGATCAATGACTGAGGAGATTGATACGGTACGGTGACTGAGCTCCACTTAGGATCAGAAATCACATGAAAACACAGAGCCGTTCTGCACAGAGTACTGCAGTAGACGAGCACGTACAGCGTTACTGAAGTCACTTGATACTACTATGTGTTGGAGTATAAACTTACTGCTGCTGATGTCATAAAAAAGCAAACAGCAGGTTTTATAGCAGACGGAGGTTTCCGTCTGAACAAGGCTGCAAAGACAAAAACTGAGGCTCAATCTGGGGTTCCTGTCCCGCACACAGACGTACGTTGTTGTAAAGAACTGTCAAAACTCACGGGTCGGAGTGAAGAAAACAACGTCCTCTACAACAGTCTGCTGAGAACTGCCCTCCTCCGCCGTCTCTGCCGCCACGTTTAGACAAAAGGGTAAAAAAGACAAATCAGCATCACACCCACACACACGGCCCGGGCTGTTGCTGTTGACACCGTGTCTCTGCTGCTGCTGCTGCTCTAGTCCAGTCCAGAAGAAAGACCGCGTCTGGGGAAGAGGTGGAACTTCCTTTTCAAAGTTGGAAACGGAGTGAGTCAGAAAGTTTCTCCCTCCCAGCTCCAATCTGCATGAAGCAGGAAAGGCTGTCATACTATACTACCCCCCCCCCACCCCCCCCCCCCCCCCCCCCCCCCCCCAAACAAAAACATAAACATAAACATGAGGTTCGTGCAGTCATTAAAAACCCTGAGTGGCGCCGCGCTCTCCTGACACACAGTCCTTAGCCGTGCGAAGGCTGGCGGAAAGAAATCGATTCAGTGAACCAGAAATTGTGTATCTGGCGCTAATTTTCACGTCCGCTCGACTCCATCATCCCTGCTTTTTTCATGACAGTTTTTTCCATGCTCGGTTCCATTTCACGGAGAACCAGTTGTGAGCGCGTGTCACCGATGAAGGTCCTTCCTGTGAGTGCACATTAGACCCTGATGATGAAGATGCTGCTCAGGATTAAAGAACGCTTGTTGATGCTCACAGTTCTCTGAAGTTCTCTTCGTTGCGGGGACATCAAAGGGTCCCTCTTCAGTCTGGTACTTTTATTCAGATGAAAGGAGTTCTTTGATGGTAACAACGTGAGGAGAAGGAGGAGGAGAAGAAAAAGAATCCAAAATATTGCTCTCAGCTGGAGTCCTAACACACTGTAAGGACTGACTGGTCTCTGTGCCTTCACCTTTAAATGATAATGAGCCACAACAAGCTCCGCCCACTTCTCTGACCATCCTGGTCAGTCCCAGTGAAGACCTCAGCATCTTCACCTCCTCCACCTCCAGCTCAGCCTCCTGTCCTTCAGACAGAGACACCAAACCAAACCAAACCATCATAGCAGCGCTCACTACTCTGCTCAAACCTCCAACTTTTTTCTCCTGTCACAAATCACACCTCCATCCACTCCTCCCCCGTCTCCCCCCACCGTTCCTCACCTCTAACATCCACCGTCCACAGACTGGACCAGAATGAACTCCTGGTTTTCACAAACTTTAAAACACTGAGGGGAGACCAGGGGGAGACCAGGGGGAGACCAGGGGGAGGGGCATATAGTAAATGTAATCACCCGTCTGAAACTTTCACGGCACTGTAAGTTCAACGTACTCTCTGTAAAACAAAACTCTTTTTACAGCAGCACATGTTGTTAATTATATCAGGAGTGACTTTACTCTCTGAAACTCACAGAGTTTCCAGGAGGTTTTTTTTTTTTTCTTCACAGCATTTTTAAGTTTCACATCTTGGCAGGAGTGTGAAGCTGTAAATGGTTCCACGACCGCTTTTATCGAAGGTCATTGAATTCTCGACTTTATTTGATTCTTCCACGAGTTCACCGCGGGAACACGGCCGTTACTGAGCTGCACCCTGCAGGGAGTAGAAGAACGTTCTGCTCCCGCTCCGACATCCGTCTCTCATTAACCGCTGGAGTCTGACCCAGTGTTCTACCAACGTTCTACTGGTGCACGTGAAACTGAGCCTGGAACCAGACGAGTCAGGCTGCACTGGGAACGCAACCGAAAAACACATGGACGGAGGAACGTCCGTCTGGACTGGACACCGACCGTTTAAGGTTCTTTAAATACCTCCAGACCAGCACAGCGCCCCCCTGTGTGTAGATAAGACCAGCGGTCAACACAGAGGTCAAGCTCCGTCACTGAACTTTCGACTGCATCCAAAAAATGTAAACATCGCAAGTATCATTCACAGTGATTGAAATAATACACAAGTACTGATGGGAGTATCGATATATCCATGCTGTGGTATCGATGTTCCGATACTCACACGAGTATCGATTCAATGGTATCAATACATTACGTGTTGTAATTTGTCATGACAAAAATAAATCACACAAAGTATCGGTATCTGTAAAAAATCAGTACCGTATCGAATCAAAAAATCTGGCATCGCTGATCTTTGAACATGATGATCGGATACACAATACCCTCAAAGATAATAGAAAAAGACAGGGATGAGAACCCTCCACTCCAATCCACTCCACTGCTGGAGACCAGCTGGAGGGTGAGGGGTGGGGGAGGGAGGTGATGCGGGGGGAACTGGGCTTCTCCCAGTTCCCATTTCCAGTTCCAGGATTTCTGTGAAGTGAATCAGTGATCACATTCCTGCCTGGATCTCCTCCTGGCTGGCAGATGTCCACCTGTCCCCGGGGCTGATTTACACCCCGGCTGTGTGTTGGTGTGAGGAAGACGGATGGGTGAGGATGAAGAGAGGGGAGGAAAATAAAACGATGGGAGGGGGAAGAAAAAAAAATCAGATAAAGAGAGAAAAAATTGTAAGAAGACGACGAGGAGGAGGTGAAAAACCTCTGAAGAATGGATTTGAAAGAAACGTGATTTCCTGCAGCCTTGAACTTCAAGTTCAGGGAAGTTTAGGTTTAGGATTTTGTTCTGATTGAGCTGCAGAAAAAATAATAATAATAATAATAATGAAAAAGAGAGAGAGCGCTAAAAGAGCATGACAAAGTGCAGCAGCAGGTGATCCTTCAAACAGGTTTCAAAGTAACAATGGCTGAACACTCTCTTAACCCAGTTGATAATATTTGCTGTTCTTCGTGGCGGCCTCGCCCACTCATTTTTCAAAGGTTGTCACAGAGTCTTTGTTGTTGATCGGTACTGTACTGTATGAAGCTCAGTGAATGGACGGCACATCAAAGGACAACTTGGTTGTTCGAAATATACGACACAAAGACACGAAGAAAAAAAACAAAAAAAAAAAAACTGTCGTCGTGTCTACACTGAACCAAAGCCGTCAGTACAAACTCACGACCATAAGAAAACCAGAGTTCTCCGTCTGTTCCAGACGACAATAATCTGACAGGTGACACGAAAGAATCGTATTAAGTAGAAAAAATTCACACCACCCACACATGAGTCATCCGGGCCTCAGACAATGAAGAGCCAATCGTAGGAGGGCTCCTGGAGAGAGCGTTAGCATTCGTTGTCCTTCAGACTAAATCACGCTCCGACATCGCAGCCAACAATCGTGAAGATAAATAATGAGCAGGATTCTCCACGGCGCCGTGATGTGTGTTGACATCAGGACGGTGAACTAGGCTGCGTGGATCTAGGCTGAGTGGATCTAGTCTGAGTGGATCTAGGCTGATATATACATATACATGTATGTATAAAAATATGTACATATATATTTCATATATATATGTACAAATGTATATATGTGTGCATATATAAAAGATATATACATATATGCATATATATTTATATATACAAGTATACATACAAATATACAAATATATACATATATGTATGTGTATATATTAACACAGTATACATACATATGTACATATTTTTATACATTATTTACAGATTATAATCCAGTCTGGTTATAATTTCTGACATGAACTGATTTCAGGTGCTAAATGCTTCGTAATACGACACAGACTTTTGGTCTGTTTGGTGTTTAGGTGGGAAGTCCAGGGCAGGAAACGGAGTGGAGCTGCATGGCTAAGGTCCACGTGGAACACGGGCCGTGGGCCCACCACCAGCAGAGCCCTCCCTCAGTGATCCCACTGGCCTGTGTCTATCACACAACAGCAGGAGTTGACACACACACACACACTCAATGAGTGGAGGATCAACAGACCAACGTCAAGGACTGAGATTACAGAACCATCTCAACATGGCCGACTCCCCCCCTCTGCTCCTCTCTGCTCCCCCCTGCTCCTCCACTTACATCATTTCCTCTGTCCTCCAGCTCCTTCTAATAAGAGTCAAGGATTTGGA